TTTTCATTCAATTACGTACTCGTTGCATTGCTAGGTAAGCTAAAATTAAACTTTATTTCAAAAGATTTACTATCTATTTTTGAATTTTTTTTTATAGAATCACCAAAGGAGCTGGTGTACAACGTTTGATTATTTGTCTGCCTTAAACGCTAGTCCCAAACCAATTAGGTTTATGCTTGAGGGTAAAAGCAACTTTTTGAAGAGCAAATACTGCGATGAATGTGCTGTTCGGATGTTGCACATTGCTATTGTCAATTGCACTAAGAATCCCGATACTGCTGGTCAGGTTTACCAAGCTGTTGGGTAGGTTTTGAGCAAAATTGAATTTATGTACATACTTTCTAATATGATAACACTCAACAAAAACCTTGCAGACCAAAGCGTTACCAGTTGAGCGAAGTAATTGACTGGTTCTTGTTATGCGCAAAGGAGAAAAATGGTGGGGATACCGAGTTCACTGAGCTCATCTGTCCTGGACAACTTATTGGAACATATCGATCGCGAATGTATTACCGATATCATTTGGGTGTACAATTGACCTCCATGGAAGAGGAAGTACCATGGGAATTGCGACCATATCGTGCTGCTATGATGTCGAATTGGGAGAGTGGGAGGTACCAGCTCCACCAAAACCGATAGAACATCTGGAAGAACTACGTATGTTTGCCTAAAACAACTATAATGGCAACAACACTAACAACAACAGCCAAGCAAATAATAAACAACAAATGAAAGTTGGCGGCGTTGGGGACCAAGTAGCGATTTGAAAAAGAAATATTTGCATATACGCGAATTACAACTCGTCTTTACATCTAGTGAATTATGGTCGATTATGAATGGTGAGGAAGTTGATATTTAAATTATAAAAAAAGTAAGAAATTTGAGTTGTATGTTTATTTGGGCCAAACAAGTTATTATCGATTTGAATAATTACAAATGGAATATATTTCGAACAATCATTTAATTTTTTAAATATTATGCCAGTATTGCTATTAAGCATGGCAAAGTAGTGTTGCGTAAGCTAATTTAAACTACTTTTTACTACTATATACATAGGTATTGCAATTCAAAAAACAATTTCTTTAAGAATCCTTTTTATTTATATAAAACGTGTATGTAATTTTAGATTACAAAATTTTATACCTAAAATATAGGAAACATGGCTATTATAATTATCTCTTAATTCATCTTACAATAAAAAATCGTGTGTTACTGTTCAGACGAATTATTATGATATGTAATACCAAACTTTTCCACAATAGTTATCCCTTATGGTCCACTCATTATCAAATATAATTTCCAATTTGTCCTTGAATAAGTTAACGCTTCCACAAGCGACCTCGCTTCATGCCTTATTTTTACATTAACTACGAATATACGAATTCCCATGAATATACATGTTTGCATATAAACGTATAAAAATATAAGCAAAAGAGCTAACATACGTCTGTAACTGTAAATATATATAATACATAAATAGTTCTGAGCTAGTTTTTATTCAATGTTCAGCTCTGTTTAAGTGCAACTGTTAAGATTTCTCCTGCCGAGTTGGCAGTGGTGAAACTCCCTCATCTCGACCGAATTAGCCAAAAATATTTTCACGTTCTCTATGGTAAACGTTCTCTGCACGGCCTGTATCGCCACGGCGACAATTATATCTATGTGGGTATATGCCATTAAGATCGTTACTCCAAGAAGAATTTCAGTTGCCTCTGCACCAATATCTGGACGGGTGTTATGAGTGACTTGCAGAGTTTGGTTTTTGTTTGTCGAGAGAGGACTTTGCTACTCAATTGCCTACTCAGTCCGAAGTAGCACCTGTTGGCAAGAGTTATCCTGATTGGGATTTCCAGGCTGACATTTTTGCTGGTGTTTATGCAGGTTCCAAGATAGACGAAATTATCTACGACTTCAAAGTTATGACTGTCAACAGTAACGTTAGAGCCTAGCCGCGAGTGCGACGACTGTTTGTTTGATGACAGGAGATATTTCGTCTTGCCCTCGTTCACTGCCAGACCCATTTGTATTGCTGCCTTATTCATTCTGGAAAAAGCAGAACTAACGGCGCGGGTGTTGAGGCCGATGATATCAATATCAKCGGCATACGCCAGCAGCTGTACACTCTTACAGAAGATTGTACCTTCTCTATTTAGTTCTGCAGCTCTAATTATTTTCTCCAGAAGTAGGTTGAAGAAATCGTAAGATAGGGAGTCGCCTTGTCTGAAACCTCGTTTGGTATCGAACGGCTCGGAGAGGTCCTTCCCGATTCTGACGGAGCTTTTGGTGTTGCTCAACGTAAGTTTACATAGCCGTATTAGTTTTGCGGGGATACCAAATTCAGACATCGCGGCATAAAGGCAGCTCCTTTTCGTGTTGTCGAAAGCAGCTCTAAAATCGACGAAGAGGTGGTGAGTGTCGATTCTCTTTTCACGGGTCTTTTCCAAGATTTGGCGCATGGTGAATATCTGGTCAGTTGTTGATTTTCCAGGTCTGAAGCCACACTGATAAGGTCCAATCAGTTTGTGGACGGTGGGCTTTTATCTTTCACACAATACGCTCGATAGAACCTTATATGCAGTATTGAGGAGGCTTATCCCACGATAGTTGGCGCAGTTTGTGGGGTCTCCTTTTTTGTGGATTGGGCATAGCACACTTAAATTCCAATCGTTGGGCATGCTTTCGTCCGACCATATTTTACAAAGTATGTGATGCATGCTCCTTATCAGTTCTTCCATCTGGCAATTGCTATTCGAATTTCTTTTTGGTCGGGCAATGGAACGTCTGCTCCAAAGTCATCGATTGGGGAATCAGGTTGGCCTTCTCCTGGCGGTGTGCGTTCACTGCCTTTCAGCAGGCTGGAGAAGTGTTCCCTCCATAATTTAAGTATGCTCTGGGCATCGGTGACTAGATCACCTTTAGGGGTTCTACAAGAGTATGCTCCGGTCTTGAAACCTTCCGCAAGCCACCGCATTTTTTCGTAGAATTTTCGAGAATTACCCCTGTCGGTCAGCTTATCAAGCTTTTCGTACTCACGCATTTCGGCCTCTTTTTTTTTCTGTCCCATCCCGCACGTGTTGTTGTCGATCGTAACGTTGCCTACCTCGTCTGTTTTCTCTCCGATGCGACACGGGACTCCTCGCCGTACCAGCTGTTCTTTTGCACTTTCCGAAAACCAATGGTTTCGGTTGCGGCTGTACGTAAAGAGTTTGAAATGCCGTCCCACAGTTCCCTTATACCGANCGAAAACCAATGGTTTCGGTTGCGGCTGTACGTAAAGAGTTTGAAATGCCGTCCCACAGTTCCCTTATACCGAGTTGTTAACGAGTGCTCTCAGAGAGCAGGAGTGCCGGCAAGCCAAGTAGAAAATCGTTCGGCTGTCTGTTGTGATTGCAGCTTCTCGACGTCGAACCTTCCTTGTGTTTGATGGCGTGCGTTGTTTGCTGCACAGAGGCGCGTGCGAATCTTGGCTGCAACAAGATAGTGGTCCGAGTCGATGTTAGGACCTCGCAGTGCACGCACATCTAAAACACTGGAGACGTGTCTTCCGTCTATGACAACATGATCGATCTGGTTGCTGGTTTTTCGATACGGGGACAGCCAGGTAGCTTGATGTATTTTCTTATGCTGGAACCTAGTACTACAGATAACCATATTTCGGGCMCCGGCGAAGTCGATCAGCCTCAACCCATTTGGGGATGTTTTCTCGTGGAGGCTGAATTTACCGAGCGTAGTGCCAAAGATAACTTCTTGGCGTTAAAGTCGCCAAACACGATTTTGACATGGTGGCGAGGGCAGCTCTCATAATTGCATTCCAAGCACTCATAAAAGGCATCTTTGGTCACATCGTCCTTCTCTTCCGTCGGGGCGTGGGCGCAAATCAGCAATATATTGAAGAACTTCGCTTTGATGCGGATTGTGGCTAGACGTTCATTYACCGGAGTGAATGATAGTACTCGGCGACGGAGTGTCTCTCCCACCACGAATCCCACACCAAACTTGCGCTCCTTTATATGGCCACTATAGTAAATTCCACAAGGACCTACTCGTCTCTGTCCTTGTCCCGTCCATCGCATTTCTTGGACGGCGGTGATGTCAGCCTTTATTTTCACGAGGACATTAACCACCTGGGCAGCGGCACCTTCCCAATTAAAGACCGGACATTCCTGGTGCATGCCCTCAAATCATAGTCCTTAATTCGTTTGCCATGGTCGTCATCAAAAGTGGGGTCTCTCATCCGAGGCTGTTGTGAATTTTTTTTCATTGGGGGTGTTTTTTACGTGGCGGGTCCCAAGCCCAGCGCACAAGCCTACTTAGGGAATATTTCGCCTTCTCACTTTAGCTCCCCTTCAAACGGATGTTCTTAGGCTACCCAGAGGATACTTGGTCAAAGACCGGAAGCATCGTTTCTGGCCACTCCCAAGTAAATGGTGATCAGAGAACTTTCCTCACTTGCGTGAACTTCTGCACATGACTCCTTCCGCTTTAACCTATTACTTGTATAAAATAATTTCGATGTTTCACATCTGCCAGCAGTCAACTGACAGCTCACTCTTTTTACAACCATTTTTTTATTTTATGAATAAAGGGATATTAACTAAAGTTGGATATGGAACTAAAGTTATTTTTGCATTATTTAATATAAAACAAATGATTAGAAACGAATTAGTGAAGTGTTAGTGGATATAAAAGCTAAAAACATAAGTGTAAAATTTTTAATAGATTTTTTGTACAATAAATTCAAATATCTCAAAAAGCATAAGTCAGCGGCAAAAATATATATATATATGTATATATTCTTGATATGGGGGACATCCTCTATCCGTACATACCCATTTTAACCCCGAAATCGGCGGATGCTATTCTAAATCTCAGCACAAAAATCGAGAAAATCAATGATTTTTCGGAGGGTTACACTGAGACGATCCCGTAAGGCACTAGTAGGATAGAATACAAAAAAAAAAAATTCCTTCAAAAGAAAAGTTAGCCTTAATATTTGCAACATCACTGCCAAATTTTTACACATTTATTAAATTGGTTTTTACAATTGTTCAACAATCTATAAAAGTCTACAATATCTTATGGACGTAATAACTCCACATGTTCATTACATGGTGACATTGGATTTCTGGAAGAAAAAAAATTTAAAAGGTAGTTAATAAAATATTAAAAGTAGTTAAGACTAAAGAGAATTTATATTATAAATAAAGGTATCAAAATAGTATGATTTTTTTTTAAAGTTTTAGATTTTGAGATACCAATTAATATTAAAAGTGTTTGCTATTTACAAACCAGTTGTTTGTTTACTTTATTTCTAAAGTGCTCCCGAATGAATTTAAAATTTTTTAATATATTTTTTCAGAGATATTGCGTGTTGTAAAAGAAAATTATAATGCACGCAAGCAACTTTCGAATTATTTTTTATAAATCCAACGAGATTTTTGAGACAATTAGAAATGAGCTTTGTATATGTAAAACGACATATTAAATTTGTTGTATTATAAAGGCGATACCAAGTCTGAAACATTGGGCTTTCGTTAAGGCCAGTTACATTGTCGTAAAAGATTAATTATTAGTATTAAATAAATTATGTGTAAATACCACAACACCAAAGTTGTAAATGATAGAATCACCAGTGTCTGTATGTATCATACAAAAGAACTTACTCGTCCGAAGGTAAACGAAATATATTTCTCGGCACATTATTCAATTTAGAATTTGCGCAAAGCAATTCAACCGCGTTTGCTTTTTCAAATTGTACCAAATCCGTTAATATTGGGTCTAAAGCATGAAGCTGCCTCTGATATATCTTCGAGAACTGTTCGGCTGAAATTTTGAAAGTTTGTTATTTGGTTAAATAAAGTGGAAAATTTGTAAAAATTTATATTTAAATTATGAGTACTTTTTAATAATAATGCGGAAACAAAAAACTTAGATGGATTTTGTAAACCCATCCGCTTACTTTCTTGCCCCACCTATCAGGAACCACAAAATATACGAACTTGTAATACTATAAGCAAAAAAAAAAAAAAAATAATACGACTTTGTTCATAATATTAAAATTCTTAAATTATTCTTCAAAATCTATGCCGTTCTTCTCAAAGTAATCTCCCTTGGCCCTAATAATACACTTGCTTCTAGTAACAGTTGTTAAAGTCAAGTTGCGGAATAGCCTTCAATGCCCCTAGCGATTCAAGTTTAATGTTTTCAATTGTCCCTTTTAACGTATAACACTCAAATAGTATTTCTTGTTGACAGTTTGGTGAGTAGAGAGTATTTTGGAGTGCACCACATCTTGATAATCGAAGAAAATTGTCAATATAACGGTGACTTGTTTTGACCTGGTTTTTTCGGATTTGGCTTACCTTTGCCAATCCGGGGCGTAAGCATAGATCCAAAATTCATTGCCAGTAATAATACCTTTCATGGCATCTTGGTAGTGTCAGAAAGCATTGTTTCATAGACGTTAACGCAACGGGTGTTTTCTGAAAAAATTTACTGATTTGGACCAGCCTTTTCTTATTCCCTACATCCCTCAATGTGATTTTCACTGATCCATTCGATATCCAAACATGCCAGTAAAATCTCTGACTGTTAATTCTCGATTCTCAATTCTCATTATTATTTATTACTTTATTGACGTGTTCAACATCAGCTTATGTTGGTGGTCATACTGGAGTGGTAAACGTTATCTTCAGCTGCACCCAAGCTAATATACCCTTCATAGGTGTATTTCTTTTAGTAACAATGTGTCCATTTTGTATGGAAGCTCTATTCTATAGTAATCCGATCTGAACAATTTTTTCGGAGATTATGTTATTACCTTAAGCAGTAAAACATGTCGAATTTCGTGAAGATACCACGTAAAATGCGAAAGTTTTCCATACAAGCCCTTGATTCCGATCGTTCGGTTTGTATATAGTTAACCGATCTGAACAATTTCTTCTTCGGAGATTACATTTTTATCTTAGAAAATGAGCTGTGCCAACTTTTGTGAGGATACGTTGACAAATGTGAAAGTTTTCCATACAAGAACTTCATTCCGATTGTTCAGTTTGTATGGCAGCTATATGCTATAGTTAACTGATCTAAACAATTTCTTCGGATATTACATTGTTGCTTTAGAAAGACTAGACTACTTCGTATATATACAGATGGACAGACGGACAGGTAGACAGACAGACAGACATGGCTAAATCGACTCAACTCAACAGACTGATCATTTATATATGTATGTATACACTTTATAGAGTCTCCAACGCTTCCTTCTGGGTGTTACAAACTTCGTGACAAACTTATAATACCCTGTTCAGAGTATAATAAGGACACTAATATTAATCAATATTCAATCATTATAGCATTATTAAATATAAATATTACTTTTGGGAAAGTAATTTTTAACTGATTTAATTGTTGCCGCATGCGAACATAGAATAGATTATTGCCAACCTCTTCTCTGCCAACGAATTTTTCATGCTTGGTTGAATTGCCTACAACAAATAGTTACATAAGGAAAAATACCATACATATTGTCATCGAAAACATTACACATTAAATGTTTAACCACTTTTGGATGCGTGTGGCAATTCGCCTGCAAATTATGTTAGTACGGATATTTTATACTTTCAAATTCTTATTGCTATGTACCAGTTCACAAGAGCTTTCGTAATTCCCTTCTTTTAATTACCGCTATTTTTATTAAAATGTACATTGTGATAGATTAACCTTCTAGTAATTAGTTTAATCTGAAAGCTAAATGCTACTTTGATTAATTTTTTATATATATATTTATCCAGAGACTTAAGTGTTATTGTTTATTTCTAAGAGAGTATACATATATTTAGCCAGTAAGAAACATCAAACTTATTATTCAATATAAATATGGATTGTTTTCAAAATTTGTCCAGATCTTAATTAAGTATCCGCGTTTCGATTGGAATTATTTTTTTGTAATTTATAAATGGCACAATTCCGATTTCCGCCGCGATCTGAAGGTACCGTTGGAAAGAGGAAGTCCTCCTGATTAAAAAATATATTCGACTGTGTAGTTCCAAAATGATCAAATTTCGAACATTTCAAGAAGCTATTTCACCACATTAAACACACTTTATGCACATTTTTCACTTCATATTAATTAAACTGAACTATAAACATTTAAATAATTTCAAAATTTACACTTTTTGCAGGTTTTATAAGTAAGAAATTTATATTTTTTAAATTAAATTTTTCTTTTTGCTTTAATCCCTCTTTTTTATTTGGCATTCTTAGCTCTAATAAGTAAAAGCAAGCGTCTATAAATTATATTTCAAATTAAAATGAGTATAAACAATCTTTCCATGCATATTGATATTTTCTTATTTAAATTTAATAAACAACTGAGTAATTTTAAATAATACCATTACCTAATAAAATACTTAGATTTTTAAAGGAGTACTACGCAAAAGTAATTCAGTCACCCTGGGTATTGGCTCGACCAGGGTTATTTTTTTAAAGCGCGGCCGAAGGCCGCCAACACCCAAAGGTGTACTACGGAAAAGTTCTTCAGTCACCATGGGTATTGAAGATATTTTACCGACATTATGTGTATTAAATTTTTAACACACTTTTTTAAGGAGTTATATGGGTTTCACAGTTTTAAAAAATGGATAGGCTATATGCGCCGTCTTTTCACACGTTTTTCTCGAAACTATGTTTTCAAAGTCGGTTGTCAAGATTTCTCGCGAACTACTTAACCGATATTGATGAAATTTTACACAGGTCTTAAACGAAGAATTTTTTTTTAATTACAACTATTTTAAAAAAAATTTCATTGAAAATTAAATTTTTTTATAAAAACGTCTGCCAAAATTATAATTATCATTTTTTTTCCTTCGTCCAATATCTAGTTTATTGTCTTTACTAAAACACGTATTTTTAATGGAGATTGGAGATGATCCTGAAAGAAGTTCTGCTGACAACGCGGATGCACTTTTTTTCCGAGGGACTGCCGGAAATGGCGTTGTAATGACTGCCATTTTGATATTTTTTTGAAAATTTTACAAAATGTTTATTAAATATGAGTTTTTTAAATAAAAAAAAATTTCATTAAAATATTTCATTTTTTATATGTAAAAAAAATATTGAAAAAAGGCCGTTCTTTGTCCAAGGAAACCCATGTAACCTCTTAATATGCATTCACCCAACTGGTTCACGTAAGTATACAAAGGTTTTTTAGATAGTAAGTAATGGTATCTTAGTAATGGGTGAATTTGGTCGATAAAATGTGTAATTTAATTTTTTATGAAATACTTATAATAAGTAGCCGTAGTAGTTTATATAATAGTATAAGTACATATGTGCGTGTCTTTAGTTTTATAGACACTTTTTAAGGCTATTGTTTATATTTTTCCGAGAGTTATGTTTAAAGGATAACCTCATGGCTTATTCCTAATGTGTTTAAATGGATAAAATTCTGGCAGACGAACTACTGTGATCAAATTGAAAGGTTA